TTTTTTTTTTTTTTTTTTTACTTTTTTAAGCAATTAAAATGAGATGGGGAAATCACTTTGCAAGTCTTCTACAAAAGCATCACTTTCTGGTGAAGATTAGAGATAAAGTAAAAGTAGGGAAATAACACTGACCAATGGAGTTCAATCATTTCATATTCCTGGAGGAATTCCAATCTGACTTTGAGAAGATATTCAACATCTCTTTACTTAAACAGAAAGAAGTGGTAGACCACTGTTACAGGTTGTACTAAGGGGTTAAAATACAACTTGAATTTTGCATAATCTGTGTAAAAAAGATATGCTTGACATTTTGGAATGTCACCTTTCTTTATAGAATTATAGGCAAGATTTCTCCAATAAAACATAAGCCAGTTATAAAACTATAACTTCACATCAAAATTTTAAAAACTTGTTTAAAAAATGTTTGAATATATACATATCACACAGAAGAGCCTGCATGATCCTGTGGATTGTGTTGCTGATCAGACTCTATTTTAAAACCTGGAAGGGGCTGGGCCACCTGATCTGGTTGCACAAGTCCTGATATTGAAGAAACAGAGGAGGAGAGCACCCCTGGGCTAAGCTGAATTTCTATACCTGGCTCTTCAGACTCTGTTTTTACACTCACACCTCGGGGTTCACCTTGTGCCTCTGTGCTCCCAGGAACATCACTGTTCAGGCTTGAGCTGCTCTCTACTTTTGGAGAAGTCTCCCCCACGGGGTGGTACTGCTTGAGTCTGATGTGCCAGGCTAGGCTGCAGACTGCTGACACTGTTTTGAACTGATGAATGACATTTCTGGGGATGAAGTAGATGTCGTTGTCACACAACTGAATCCTGGCATAGCGAATGCCTTCCCGTCTCATTTGGTTTAGTTTGGCTTCGTCCACCCATTGAACACACTGGGAGAAGGAGAGATGGCAAAGTTAGTGGTGAACTCTTCAAACACTCAGCATCTTCCTGTTTTCAAGTGAATTCATTTCTAAATCAGAATATCTCCTTTTCATGGGTAAAATTTTAAATTCAGATGAGAAATGGACTTTAAAAATACAATTTCCCTGATGTCTTGAGAGGAGGATGAAGAAATTTCTATAGTTACAGTTAAAAACAACAAT